GGATGGTTTTAGTTATAGGAGGTCATTAATCATATACTGGGGATGGCAGGAGAGTTGGACCAATTGAGTGGGTGCAGCCAATTGTGTCCTTGATTGAGCCATTCTGTCCCCAGTATGAATTCAATCTTGAGCAAGAAGACCTTGAAGTAGGCTAGCAAACAGGATGTCTTCCTGGCCTTGGTGCAGCCACACTTGGTCAGACAGAGCTGAGTCCAATCATCTCTGAGTTTATCAGCCAAGGCTATGTGGGTGTAGGGTCCTATCTATAAAGCTGTTAACTTTAAGATATTTCTGTTTTTCTTTCACAGAAACAGATGTTTGAAGGCTTTGTTGAAGAATGCAAAGCTGCTGTTGGAATTGGGCGGGGAAGATGAGGTTGATTTGCTCTTGGAACCATGTATTTGCCTAATTTTTCTATCCTGAGTTCATAGACTTCTCCTATGAATACTCTTGCAATAAACTATGAGCAAGGTCTTCACATTAGGTTTTGCTCCTAGGGGCCCTGCATTAAGGCAACAAGGATTGGGTCAGGATGTGTTGTGGATCACGATTGGAGGTGGGAGAGGAAAACACCTCAATGGAAAAGAGATGCAGATTCCCCCAAACAAAACAGATCCCCTTAACATTTCACTGATGAGGTAGAGTGAAATCTGAATTTTTTCATAAAATTATGAGAGATAATTATTTATTATTTAAGTAATTAATTATTTAAGTAATTAATTTAAAAATTAAGGCAGGTAAATGTAATAGAGACTTAATCCCTGCAAAGCAAGGATCCATGTGCTTTCTGTGCATTTATTCATAAATTCCTCTTCACACAATTGCAATGTAGACTCTACTTTGACCCCCATTTTGCATATTAAGGAATTTGAAGCAAGAAGAGGCTGACAAACTCACTTAAGAAAACCTAATAGTAAGAGGAGTCGGAACTCAGACCTGAGCAGTCTGACGTGCACTCTCATTTCCTAATTTTCATCACTTAATTCACACACATGTATCAAGAACTGAACACATGTCAGACTTGGCGGTCAGTGTCCAAGCTGCGTGCACAGAGCTAGAGGAAGCCCTTGCCTTCCCAGGGCTTGTGCTCTGGTGTGCCACTGGCAGGAAGTAAACTTGGCCCAGACTCCGTCGCACAGGTCAGGCAGAGGCGAGTACAGAGCTGAAACAGCCCCACGAATTCCGTTCCAGACAGTGAGGAGGGCAGATGCAAGGGCCTTGCTGCAGCACAGTGGGCTATTCCTTCCCGAGAACTTTCCACATTATCTCCACATAGAAGTCACCCTGGAGACACGTCTGAGTCACGTTACTTGTCCAGTTTGCCCTTAGAGGAGCTTGGATAGTAAAGCTCTGGTTCTGAGAGTTTAGCCAGCCCGTCACCTAGAATCACATCACCTAGAATCTACTTCACTTCTATTCCACCTGCCTTTCCAAAGCTCCTTGACTGGGCGGCTCTCTTAATCCGCAGGAGCACTGTGAGTTGACTTCCTTCAAAGCTATCTGGGCAGAATGGCTGTGCTCCAAATTTGGTTCTTTTGATTGAACTCAAAATTGTAAGGTCCACAGGAGGTGAGGAGAGCAGGGAGAGCCCCCCTTCCTCCCAGCTTCTTTGACATGAGGCTCTTCACCCTTAGTAGTGAAAATTGATTTAAAATCTAGTTATAGAATACTTGAACTTAATTGTCCTAAGGGATTAGTTATTTTAGTTATACACAGGAGAAAACACCTCTGAGTGAAAATTAGGAAGTTCATTTTCAACTTTCCAAAATCTTCCATAGATGAGCATGAACCTTATTGCACTTTCATTATCAAGAAAATTGGAAGTAAAGCTAATAAAAGGAGTTATACTGTGTTGTAAATGTTATGCACTGTTTCCAAAAAGGCTTTCAGGGGCCAGCGAGACAGCTCAGCCGACTAAGCACCCACTTAAGCAAGCAAGGGATTGGGGTTCAATCCCCAGCACCACATGCCACACTGGCCTGCCCCCAGGTCGCTGAGCCAGTCACCAAGACTGAGCATGGTGGCGCTTGCCTGTAATCCCAGGGGGAATCACTATAAGTCTGAGCTATGTAGTGAGACCCTGTACCAAATATATATAAAGGCTCTTGACAATTTACAATTGAAGAAAAGCACTTTCTTTCTTTCTTTCTTTCTTTCTTTCTTTCTTTCTTTCTTTCTTTCTTTCTTTCTTTCCTTCCTTCCTTCCTTCCTTCCTTCCTTCCTTCCTTCCTTCCTTCCTTCCTTCCTTTCATGTATTTAATTGTTGCAGGGTCTCACTATGCAGCTCAGACTTGTGGTGATCTTCCTGCTTTCAGCCTCCCCAGCGCTGGGATTACAGGCATGCACTACCATGCCCATACTCTGGCCAGCTCAGCCTGCCCTGGGGGAGGGGCTCACTTGGTATGTGGTACCAGGGATCGAACCATGGTCCTTGCTTCACTTTGTGTAAGCAAGTGCATTACTCAGCTGAGCTATCTTGCCAGCCCCTGTCTTGAGTTTTGAATCAAATAATCATACTCATCCAAAGTACAAATTGTTCTCTCGTCTTAATTAAAAATACAAAGTACTCACTTTTATATAAGATGGAATTTTGTGTGTGTGCATGTGCCATGGATGGAACTCAGGACCTTGCACTTGACAGGCAGGCGCTTACGTCACTGAGTTATCTCCCTGGCCACTCACTTTTATCTAGAAACAATAAATTTTATGAGTCCAAAATCTACCTGTTATGTGGTTTTCTAAGATTTCCAGGTTAAGATTCTTTGCTATTTTCAAAAGTCAAATGTGGAGACATACACTTGGAAAATTTCTTGTGGATACAAACAACACAAAATGTATATAAGGGAAATAATTTCATTGAATTTCAGAAATTGCAGATAACAAATATTACTACTACAATAAAATCACTAAAAATCTTTAAAATTATCAATTGGGAGTTAAGGTCACTTCAAAAAGAATAGAAAAAAGATAAAGAGAAGTAAGCGAAGTCAGAAAATAAACATTGTTGGACTCTTTTAGAATATTTTGCTGAGTTTACACACCTATAATATTCAAATAACGGAACTTAGAAAAAAAGGGGTATACAGATGAAGTCCATTTTGTGTCTGTGTATTCAAAGTGGTTAGGTTAGATATCTAGTTACATTCTCAATGAATAGAGGGATTTGTTGTAATGGTGTTTGTAAATAGGATCTCAAGTCCACATCTTGTACAGCAATTAACCACCAGGAAGAATGTATGCAGTGTGTTAGTTATTGAAACTGTCTTAGCGATTTGATTTGAAACTGTCTCATTGCTATCTGTTTATCAATAAAATTATGAAAAAAAATTAAAAAAGAAAATAAACATTGTATGAGAGACCTATAACTATTTCTACTTAAAAGTTATATCATGATTGATTGTCTTCAGAAAGAAATTCTTTGACACTAAATCATCAAACGAGTTCTCCATGTACTGTAAAATAATCATAAGCTCTAAGCCAGTTTTTGTAAAGACTATGACACATGAACAAAGTCTAATTCTTTTTTTTTTTAACTGGGGATTGAACTTAGGCCCTTGCACTTGCCATAGAAGCGCTTATTCTACAGAGCCATCAGCCCAGCCCATAGTTTAATTCTTGATGTTAAATTTCTATGTAATTTAAATCAAAAAAATGTTATTTCTTAATTTTATTAGAAGCAAGAAATATTCTTACTTTATACTTAATAGATAATAGATAAATTATCAAAATGTGATTTCCCTTAAAGTAATTTTACAGATTACATAAAATGTGATTTTCCTTAAAGTAATTTTTACAGATTACATGACTGTAAGTGTTATTCTAATTTATACTAATTAAGAATCACTTTGGGCTCTAGTTTACCAAATTTATTATATCTTATTGAAATTCTATTGCCTTTTGCTTTCTATCAAATATGATTAACTGTTTTTCCCTACAATTCTCATTAATATTCATGCAAATGATTAGTACATAAAGTAATAAGTATGTAATCAGAACTTTGGTAATGCTTCAGTCATGAAATGTACTTGTTAGAAAACAGAAGTAATTAGTTACGGAGAATTTCTTTTTTTTTCTTTTCTTTCTTTTTTTCTTTCTTTTTTTTTTTTTTTTTTCCAGAACTTGGGATTTAATTCAGGCCTTTGCACTTGCCAGGCAAGCACTTATTCTACCGGGCTATCTCCCTGGCCCCATTTATGGAGAATTTCTATGATTCAAAAGGTTTTGGCTGTTGAGAATTGAACACATGTATGTAGAATGTATTTATGAAGCAAAAAATAATTATGGAGGCATCCATTTCTACAGTTCTCAGGGAATCAGATTTTAAAAATCTGGGTATTTTAAATCACTCTCAAGTGCAATAATTTTTTTTAAAATTGGTTTTAACTAGAATGACAGTGCCGGCCCCACCCACAGGGAGCACTGAAATGGTGACTGAGACTGGGCGTGGTGGCGCACACCTGTAATCCCAGCACTTGGGATGGTGACTGAGACTGGGCGTGCTGGCGCACACCTGTAATCCCAGCACTTGGGAGGCTGCAAACAGGAGGATCACTATGAGTCCAATCTAAACAGTGAGATCCTGTAGACCCTGTGGACCCTGTACTAAATACATAAAAAAGAATGAAAATAAGATTTTGAAATGGGAAAATGAATTCTAAAAAGAAAAAAAAATAAAGAAAATATCTGGTGAACTTTTATCCTATCTTAGTCTGGTTTTACTTAGAAACCAGTATAAAATTATTTTCAACTGCTGAAGTATTATCAAAAGAGCCACAAAACTGCACATCAAATAAATATATCCTAACAACTGAGAAATGCATACAGATCTTGGTACTAAAGAACAGACCATATGAGTTCCATAGCATAGGTTTTTCTTCATGTATTATCTGTTAAAACCTTTAAAATCGTTTTCTCCTTGACTTTAGTCAGTCCGGTTCCTCCTGGAGTCCACTTTTTTTTCAGCCAGAAAACTAGATGTCCACTTCAACTTCAACATTTGAGTTCACTGCCTGTGTGGATTCCATCACATCTTGGTATTTTTGATGTTTTTCATTTTTGTACACTTCTGAAAGCAGAAGAAAAATCAGACAGCAAATCAGAATATGCATTAGAAATTTGCAGGAAGGAAGCAACCTGCTTTTAAATATTTACAAGACACTTACATGCATAGAGCCTTTGGAGAAATATGTGGCGGCAAAGTAAGAAGAGCATGTCACCCAAATACAAATAAAGGGAAGAGAGGTGAGTTACCCAGATACAGGGTAGATATTTCTGTGAAATAGGAGATAATGCCTTAAATTTGTAGAGTGGTTTTTAGTTGGCAAAATGCTTTTCTTTGCATTTCAGTTCCTTCTGATAACAATCACATTTTATGATAATGTATGCTAGGGACATCAGGGCACAATGAAACTGTGACATGCCCAACATTCTCACGGCTAGTGATGGATTATAAAGGATTTGATTTAATACTATTGATTCCTGACCAAGTAGTCTTTGACTGGACCTGCAGGAAAGGAGGAGGCAAACCTAATGACTTCTAAGGACTACAGGAAAGGAAGTAGGTTAAACGGAAGGTAAAGCAATAGATCTCAAGAATAATCTGGGCTATCTAATGCTCTTAATTAACATATTAATACACAAGACAGTAACACAACATGCTAATAGGCTCTCAAAGTATGTGGGAATTCTGTCCGTCGTCAAATAATATGCTTCATTTCTTCCAGTATGACTTTATGCAGCAGAGAATGAATGGCAGAAGAGCCATACTCACAGCCTCTCTAAGCTGTTAAGTACAGAAAGCCAGAAGCCTCTAGATCTCTCTCATGGTTCAGCTGTAGTAGAGATCTGTGAAGTGAGAGGAGTTCTCAGGCTGGTGAGATAGTTCAGTGGACGAAATGCCTGCTTAGGCAAGCATAGGGTCTGGGATTCAATCCCGGCACAACATGCAGCACCAGCCCTGCCTTCAGGTGCACTGAGCTGACCACCTAGACCAGGCATAGTGGTTCCTGCCTGTAATCCCAGTGCTGGGGAGGTGAAAACAGGAGGATAACTATGAGTCTGAGCTGCACAGTGAGACCCTGCACCAAATCAGAGAGAGAGGGAGAGGGAGAGGGAGAG